TAGACCCCACACCGTGATAAGAGCCAATCGACCTGCGACCTGTGCCCACACTGAGTCAACCTTAAGTTCAGTCGTGCTCTGTAGCGGTTCCACGGCAAACATTGAATATAACTGCTGCCGACTAAGGCTGAACAATGGCGTCTATTGAATACTGCTGCATGTTATCATGGTCTATGTACTTCTAGGGGCCGATTGGCGATTAACCAGCCTTTCCAACCATTTAGAGGGGTCACCTTTCGAATTTAACTTTCAAACCACCCACCGGTTATCCGCTCATAATACTCGTATTGACGTGATGCTCCTGCATCGTTCCGCAGCACCTCTATCTGACCGGTAACCGTCTGAGGTCGCTGCCCGACTCCCTGGGCAGCTGCCTGCCCTTGCTGACCTACCTGGACGTGCGGGACAACCTGCTGGACACTGCCGGCCGCTATCTCAGCTGGCACACCTGCAGGTGCTGCTGCTGCAGGACAACAGGATATCACCTGCCGCCGCAGCTCGGTATGTGTCGCAAAGCAGCGGTTATCAATGCACATAACTCTTAGAATTTTATTTAGTGTGATGGCTCACCATGTTGGATACCAAAGTCATTAAAGTCTTGCTTATTTGTATTTATACCTAAATTGCAGTGCCATTGGGTGTTCTTGTAGCTAGACAAATGGGGAATTGTTCGCTTGCTTTTTTATTAGCAGCAGCGAGTCTCCCAAAGAATGGAATTGATTAATAGCCACATTTTCCGCTATGCACATCTCGCCTGATCGCCGTCCGTTACCGAGCGGCTCTCATATTGCAGTCGTTCGTCATAACCGTCAGCCACAGCGCCGCCATAAAGAAGGCCGTGTCGTGAACACGCTCCCCGCTGCAGCAAGGAGCGATATCAATCGAATCCGAATTTCAATCTAGGCCCCAATCACCATTCTGAACAACTCATAAAGTTCAGCGATTGCAACAGACTCGTCAGTAAAAAGACGTCCTCAAACTCGTCATGTCTTTGAACGCTGGTATGCTGAAATCAATACCAGCGGCCACAGCGTTTGTCGCCATTCTGAATTCCGCTGACACATTATTTACGGCCGGATGGAATTCGCTCCCGCTCCGTCTCACTGAGCTTCCGCTCCTTTCTCGCTGGCTCGGCAGCTCTGTTGACGCGACTGCAGTCAGTCAGCTACTCGGGCAACCCTCTGCTGTTTCCACCGGACGAGGTAACCCAGGCCGGCTGGCCGAGGGTGCAGCACTACCTGAGAGGACTTCTAACGGACGCCGACAGGGCAGGTATATATGTGGGGACGCTGTATATATTGTTAAGGGTAGGTCTGGGTGATCTTCTGTGATCGTATATCATGGACAGGTTTGAAGGCGTCTGTCAATATCCGACTCTCTCTCTCTCTCTCTCTCTCTCTCTCTCTCTCTCTCTCTCTCTCTCTCTCTCTCTCTCTCTCTCTCTCTCTCTCTCTTCATCTCTTTTCATGCCTCTTATTTCTCTCTTCTGTGTCTCTCTTGTGAAATATTCCCCCAAAACATCGTTCACGCATAAATACACGCCCGCGCATTAGTAAATCCACACAATTCACTCTTCCCACTTCATCTATTTTCCACTAATGAATTCCGACTTCGCGCGTTCAGGGCTGAGCTTCTGTCTAAGTGAATGTCAATGAATGCAAAGCTCGTTTCAATATGTATCAGCTGTTCAGAATTGCTAATTTCTTGGACGAAGGCTCACGCACGACGAGAGAGGGTGCAGAGTTCTCATGGGCTTAACCTTCGCCCTGGTGGGGGGGGGGCCATTTTGGCCCCCCCCCTGTGGTTTTTCAGCGATAACTCAGAAACCACTTGAGTTAGCGCCCTGAAACTTTGTATAGCTGTTTATTCAACATTTTTACATCATGTCCTTTTTTGGGGGGTTCGGGTCAGGTCAGGTCAGGTCACAAGGTCACCAAAACTGACACCACCTCTAAAAAAGTTCAAAGCTCTCTCAAAGGCACAGCTTTTATCCGATCGATGTAAAATTTACAGTACTTGAAGATGTCGCCCAGCTCTACAAAATGGCTATCTCGGATTTTTTATAAATGTGACCTAAGGTCAGGTCAGGTCATCGCTGCTCCCCATTATAAGTCAATGGGAAAATCGAAAAGTAGTTGTTTTTCAGCTAAATCGGGCGTGATTGTTCCTATATTTCGTTATTGAAGTGTCTTGGGTCAGCAAATCACAGCCCATGTGAAACCATTTGCTTGTGACCTCGCTGAGGTCACGCTAGGTCATCTCCCTGGTCACCAGAGGTCACCAGCGGTTTTTCTGCACTTACTTGTTATTGAATAGAGATAGAGACTCCGTTCGACGTTTATCGTGTTTGTCTCGTCAATGCGGATCGAATGATATGCAGCATGACCTATTTCGGTAAGGTCATGACCTTGACCTGAGGTCAAATTTTCAAAATGACCTTTCGAGGTCAAACTATATATCATTCGACGCGTCTCGACGAGCCAAGCACGATGGTGCATGAATCGTTTCTCTATTTTCTCGTGAATGCATGCTATAGTTAAAAACATTTTCAACGAAATTTGCCAAGTTGACCTTGCATGACCTCTGTAGGCCAAACCGTTGAGCTGAGGTCAAATCTGACGAACCTTGGCGAAAGAGCTTGAAAAGAGCTATCGATTGCTTTTTTCCGCGGCTCTCTAGCTCTTCTAGTTTCCGAGCTACAGCGGAATATGTCCGGCAACACCGAAAACACTGAAATTTGACCTATGATGACCTCTAGCGACCTCAATATTGACCTTAGCGAAAAAATGACCGAAATACTTTCGAACGTACTTGTTATGGGCTTTCGTTTGCTTTTTTCCGCGTCTTCCTAGCCCTCTTCGTTTTCGAGTTAGACGGGGGGGGTCATTTTGGCCCCCCCCCACCAGGGCGAAGGTGGCTCAGACCCACACCAGGGCGCGGGTTAATGGCTTAACGTTCTTCAGAAACGCAGCCGCGAGCATGGTGTCTCCATAATTTCTGCATCAACGGCCTCATAATTTCTCCATAATTTCTGCAATCTGCATCGCAGAGAAGCTGGCTGTCGAGTTGAGAGGCCATGACCAAGAGTTCATGCAGTCTAGTTTGCTTACCAGATTCAACATAAAACACATTTCAACTTTGCAATGAATCTGAATTGACACTTTGGACTACCCGCTAAACCTACTGCAGAGGCTCCGTCCAATGCATGTCCTCACACCCACCCACCGCATATTATGGTGCACAAACCAAGTATCTCTGGCCCCGCGACCCTCGGCTGCCGACCTCACACGCTCTGCGGACCCTGGTGTGTGCCGACAGAGAAACTTGGTCTCCCTCGGGTCCCCGCTCCTTCAGCCAGTGACAGCTCTGCTAACTTTGTCTTCATTCTCAAAACTTCCCGGTGGAACATACGGGACGGCTCGGTTTGTCACAATGTGTGTTATGCGACATGACAGCGTCAGCTCACGGGGTACTGCTGCATAATCCTGCAAAAAATAATAAATATGTCTTTTAAGTATTTTTTTATTCATTTTGGCAAGACTAATCTACCTTGCGCTAATTGTCATAGCATACAATGTCGTGTCAGATAATCGATATAGCCCTTGACCAAATGGAATTACCAGCAGTAATGAAGAGAACTAAATTCTCCGAAAAATGTTACTGGCGCTTGCCATGACTTAACGTGGCATGCATATTCCTAGAACGTATGTAATCCGATACGTCGCACATGTTGTATTTATTATCAACCTTACATCAGAGCGACAATACATTTGATATATCTTTAAAAGCAGGCATGCCGTTGTCTAAAAGGAAATCAAGAAAAAAGACGGTTTCAAACATTTAAAAAAGTCGTCGTCCAAGTGGCTGCATACGAGAGGTGTGTCGAAACTATGCCTTTGTGAAGCCTTGGGCTTTTCTTTAGAATATTTTTCCGATTTCATTTGCAGCCATCAGTGTACAATCGATTGCGATTCTGAACGAAGGCACGGAGCCCGCTCGACCGACAGACCGCCGCACTCTCAACGCTACAAACGACCCAGCCCGTAGCGTCAGATTCTCCGAGGGCAGCGCAGATCACTGCACTGCTGATCCAGGAGACAGCCGAGATCAGCGTGTTTTCGATCGAGGGATCAACAGGGATCAGGGCACTTATGGTGCGCAGGATGATAAGGATCAAAGCGCTACTGGTGCCAGAGACACGAGCAAATCCTCTGGTACTGAAGAGAAACAGCGACTCAGCGAAAACCCCAGCGTCGAAGAAGATGAAGAGGAAGCGAGCGAGGAAGGAGAAGGTGAAGCAGAGGAGGAGGAGTATGATGAGCGTGGTGTCAGTGAAGTGTCTGCTGAGACAGCGGCGCTGGACGTATCGCCCTGTGCCGACCCGGCCGGTCAGACCTCCGCCGGCCGGTCCGCGGGTGACCCTGCTGGCGGTCAGAGGCGGACGCTGCGCCTGGCCGTCTCGATGCCCGGCCTGGAGGGCCAGGCAGGTAGCGCGCTGGTCAGCGTGCCTGTGCCTCCTCCGACCGAGCAGCAGCGGCAGCAGCAGCAGCAGCGGCCCGGACCGGCCGCCGGACCGGACGATACCGGCGCCGAGCGGCGGCAGCGGACGGGAGAGACGTCGCCGAAAAAGGTGGGCATCCACAGTCAGGCTAGTTTTGGACAACTGCTGGCCGCCCCTACCGAGACCCAAAATTATTTCAATTATTTTGGAACAATCTTGACGATGAGTACTAGACGAAAAATCGCTGCAGCTTGTCCTGTACTGTATCTCATATACCACTGATCCCTGAAGATGCCATTCCTCTCACTGCACCTTATTCATTTTTTCCGATTGCGTACCATGCCTGTGTAACTGCACAGTGTCTGTTTTGGGACAGGTATACCTCAGTCCTGGCGCAGCGGCGGGCCAGAGGCGGGCCGTACCTCTCCGTCTGGTCAGGTTGGAGCCGCCTCTGCCGAGCCAGGAGACCGGACGGCGGCCAGAGGTCAGGGTCAGGTCAGCCGAGCACCATCTGAGCGGGATCAAAGAAACCGACCGGGCTTCTCGGCACCCTCGGCGGCGTCAGCAGAGGACCAAAAAGGTAGGTCAGAGAGCTCAAAGAGCTCCAGCAAAGGCAGGATCGACTACCAACTGGTTCACCACGGGCCGGCCTATAGATTCGGCGAGGAAATTATATAACCTCCCATTGCTTGATGTTTATATGCAGAACGCAACACGCTGGACATGCTGTTTGAGGTCCAACAAGGCACCTTCATAACTTATGCTCCATTGTTTAATGTTTGACTTCTGAAAACCGCGCCAGGCCCAGTCCGACTTTATCAGCTACAACGCTCAGCAGTTGAAACCAGCTAATAAGTTCAGTCAGCCACCGAAAATTGGATTCACTGTCCAAGTTAGGATATATCGCGTTTGTCACAACTTCTGTCACCCGCCGCGTCAAATTTGTGCTCGCCCGTTACCCTAGAGAAACTCGACCGTATACGCCGCGTCTCACATTAGACACAAAGGAAACGAAGCCCCCGTCGCAACATTGGCATTCGAGCTCGGCACACACGGGCAAAGTTTGCCGCCAACAGTGGGGCCGGCCGCAAATGGCACGCCGCCGCGCTTCCACCGTCTCCGCGGCGCCGTAAATGGCCTCCCGGCTGATTGGCGGCCTCCCTGAGGAGGTCACCTTTTAGTGTATGCCGGCTAATGGAGCCCGGGGGAGAGGCGCGTGAACTCGGCGCCGCCGATGATTTCTCATGTGACATTTCCAGCCCGCTGGCGATTTGTGTTTGCTTTCAGACTAGGAAAGTGTCCAAATGGGAGCAATCGGCTGAGGAGACGACTCGTCCCGCTGCGAGGTAGGAAAGGCAATGTGGTGTTGAACCAACAAGCAGTGGCCTTTACGTTCGCAAGGACTAAGACCTTGTAGTTGTTTCCTAATATGCTTACGTTTGAGCGCCTACTATGGGAAATCATACCACTCTGTTACCTGAAATCCTGATAGCAAACATAAACATAGAACAGCAAACGGGTAGGATTTTACGTGCCTCATACCTAGCATGGCAGTAATGAATAATGATGAAACGGACAATGATTTTACTTTTATAACCTTATTCAGGCAGCCATAACGACTTCTTGCAGCACATTCCGATGGAAGCATCTTTGAATAGCAAAATTCATGCATCAAATATGCCTTATGAGTTGTTCGGGAAACTGCAGGGAGTGAACAAAAAAGTTTCTGTTTAGCGCAGGTCTTTGCTTACCGTTTTGGCCGGCCTGTGCCGTCCGTGTTCAATCTTTGGCAGCCGTGGTGGTCTTTGATTCGCGGAGTTTTGACCGGTGTTTTCGTTCCAGGGTACCTTGTTTCCCTCCGTGTCCCGAGTTGCAGCTCGAACCCGACGACCGACAGCTCCAGCTCAGAAAACTGGAGCGACAGCGGCGGCTCTGGCTTCTTCAGAGGCAGAGGTACGCAGAAAAGCAACGCAAGTCTGTTGGTATAATTGTGATATTTCGCCAACTTCACGGACATTATTGCGGAGGCATACGCACGCATTATTATTGATAATAGTTCAGGCCCATTTTTCTGCTCTTCGGTTCAAAAGATCCATACGATTGAAGTGCTTATTATTAAATGCCCGCGCCCCGTAGGGGGGGCCGAAACGGCCCCCCCTGTCCTTTTCGGTCGATATCTCCTAAACGGCTGGAGATATCGCCACCAAACTTTCAGGACCCCTCCGGGCATCAATTTTACACATTGTGACCAAAAATTTTTCCAGAGGCTATGATAGGTTGGCCACAAATGACGTTAGAATGACGTCATGTTCTGTCATTTTCGACCGAAAAAAGACCTTCGCGAGAAGACCTGTCAGGCCTACAGCTTTGAAGATACAGAAAAATGATCAAGACACAAAAGGTGTAGAATTGACAGGGCTACAAAACTGCTATCTCGGATTTTTGAAATTTTTGAGTTTTGACCCAAAAAAATCAAAAATGCATTTTTTTGGATATATAAGCCAAAAAATCCAAAAAGTTTTTTGATTTTCGAAAAAACCGAAATATATGTGATAGTACCTACCGTCTTCTATCTACATACCAAATTTCAGATCGATACCTCGTTTTTTAGCCAAGTTATAGCGAAAAAACTGTTCAAAAATGATGACGTCAAATTTTCAAACTCAATTTTTGGCAATTCTAGACCTCGTAGAGCAAAACAAAGACCACCATTGGACTCCCCGTGACAAGCTGCATCGAATCGATACCCATTTTATGCAAAAATATCAACTTTGAAATTTGACCTAATTTGACCTGACCTTGACCTGACCTTCACCAAAACGTGACCTAGGCTGGCCCCAAAGGCTACCTAACCCACATAATCGCATTTGTCATGTAAAATAGACCATAAAACATGTATCACACGACACTTTCATAATGTGACCCCCGGTGACCTGACCTCACTGTGACCTGACCTGGTATCAGTGACCTCAGATAGCAAAGTATGTGTTTGACGAACAATGTACCATCGATGGTTTTCAATAAATTACCAATTTACTCGATTTCACAACACATTTCTTGAAATGCCTGTGAACGGTGAAAATCTGACCTTTGACCTGACCTGTGACGTCATCGGTTTGACCTAGGTCAATGAAATTTGGTCACAAGGTAGTTCCCGGGTGGGGCTATCGAACACCGTTTGAATTTTGAAAATCGGCCGGTAACTTTCCGAGATCTTAGGGGGGGGGGCCGAAACGCCCCCCCCCCTACGGGTGGTAGGGTCCGCCGGTAGCCCTACGGGGCGCGGGTTAATACAATACAATACATCAACCAATGATGATTGCCTATCAATTAGGTACTCTTATGTAAGGTGCCGCTGTTGCTTGATACTGCAGGCTGTTCGATGTTTTTCATGTTAAGGTAAGTTACGATCAATGGAACACAATATTAAAATATTTTGCTTAAAATTGCTATTGTTAGGGAATAGCTAAATATTGTTATTGGAACAGATATTGAAAGCAATATTTTGTAATTAAATGCTGCCGTTCTTTCCAATGTGTTACGATTATGTAAATGCCAGGAGAGCAGCGATAAAATCATCGAAAAATAATGAAACCTTAGCATTGTTTACAGCGAACACTGGAGTGTCATGTATCTGATGTCCTACTTACCTACAGTTTACAAATGTGACAAAAAAGACCGCCCTGTTATTTTACCATTTCAGTGATACGATATTTCTGAGTAATTGGAGAGAAAAGGCGAGAAAGATGCAGAAAGAGCTGTTCTTCCGAACCGTGAAATACGCATCTGACGGTAAGCACTTATCAATCAGCACGATGCATACATTCCAGTTTCGTCCAAGAAACGAAAAAATGAATTAGCGTTTCCATTGTCACTACTACCATACCATTGTTAACTTGCTTGCATTAGCGTTACTTCATCTAAGGGCGATATATATGTTATATGATGTGATTGCTCTCGCCCGTTGCAGGTCTACGCTGCGGTCCGCTGGTCACCCCTTACGACAGTCCGGGCCGCCCGCTCTCGGCCGATCCATTGGTGGCCCACTGTCCACCCGAGCCGGGACAACCGACTCAGGTGAGGGTTAGTGTCCGCCCGAGCCGGGCCAACCAACTCAGGTAGGGTCAAATTCTGGTCACCCACTGTCCGCCCGAGCCGGGCCAACCAACTCAGGTAGGGTCAAATTCTGGTCACCCACTGTCCACCCGAGCCGGGACAACCAACTCAGGTGAGAGTCAGTGTCCGTTAGAGCCGTGACAACCGACTCAGGTGAGGGTCAGTGTCCGTTAGAGCCGTGACAACCGACTCAGGTGAGGGTCAGACTCTGCTAGAGCCGGGCCAACCAACTCAGGTGAGCTCTGAGGGTTAAACAAACCACTACATTTAGACGCACGCTCCGATTCTAGAATATGTTTCGGCCGATTTAAATAGAAATGCTGCCTCACCGATAAGCTCGAAAAGATACTTCCGCCCCTTATTCACATACGAGTTTTCTTTTATTGGCATTCTGATCCGTGAATTGTAATGGTTCAAGTGTGTTGGGTTCTTATAAGTTATAATAGCATGTGGATTGTGGCTACAATTTGTGTTTGCGTAAACCGATGTGGGCTGAGAATGCGTTTCATTTTGCACTGTTGCAGCCGGATGCGCCAATGAACGTCAAACGCTCCTGGGCCGAACGGTAAGTTGTGCTGCATGAGCTAACGCTGACCTGGCCGAAGTAACTAGTCGATATGACTTGATCTGCAAGGCACGTTCTATAGCTTCTGAGATAATCGCTACTGATTTAGAAATTAATAGCCAAATGAAGGTGATAAGCTTTTCTGAGGTTAGAATTTGATGTAACTTAGTTGGGCGTCATTCGATCTATCGATTATTATATCTGACCATTAAAACATTTATCCATTTCACTGTTTTCCAGAGTGCGTGACGGCGATCAGCTGCAGCGGGACGTCTCGGCAGTGGTGCGCCGCATACAGTCGGGTCAGCTGCGTCCCGCCTCCAGTCCACGCGGCCAGCTGAGGGAGTCCTCCCGGCGACTGCTCGAGGTAAGAGTGCCTCGGGGAGAGGATCATAGAGGTAGATGGCGGTTTTTGTGGGGTGGTGAGGAGATGCGGGAAGAGCGAACTTTGGCTGACTTGCTAGTAGTTCACAGAAAATGACGTTGGACGGTTTTTGAACTCCCCGTAGCAAACAATGCGGTGGGCCCATGTCTGTGATATGACCCATGTCACTACTTTTCATCACAAGAGCTCTCATCACTCCCTCTTTTCCATCCTCAGGACAATCTAATTCTCCACATTCCTCAACACACCGAGCCCCCTGATCAGGGATAGACGGTCACCTTCATCCGACGTGAGTGGCTCCTCAGGGGCATGCTCACTGCGGTGGAGTGGCCGCTGCGGGACTGGGTGACCTGTCCACGTGACGGTCGCAGTCCCGGTGATGCACCAGGATGGCGTCTCAGGCCAATGTTTCCCCTGATTCCATGCATTCTCTCGATGATGTCTGCAAAGGTTTCGCTAAACCGAAAGGCCAGCCCTACAAATCAAAACAAAGAATAACTCTGGTGGATACTGTTATGACCTTCATTACAACTCTCATAGATCTATAGACACCAGGCTGGAATGAATATTTTATTAGCTGACATAACCCCAATCGTGCAGGCTCAGTTATTATTCAACGGGTCTCGCTGCCACCCTCGGCCAGGAGCTGCGAGCGAAAGACAGCGTCATCTAGGGTGGCTGTAGTTCCTTCTACGATTGTGTGGTGACGCTAGTGAGCAGGCAGCAGCGCTGGTCTGAGTGCCTGGCCGAGCCCAGCCGTCTGTCGCTTTTCGTGTAATGTCTCTCCAGTGACCTGCCTATCGCTGCCCCTACTGACAATGCTGAGATAAAGGCGTCAGAGTTTCATCGCCCCAGCTGACATCAGCTGAATGGTGCGATTTCATTGGCCGAGAGGGCACCATTACCGTCCAATGAAGACGCTAGCTCAGGTCCTATGAGGGTAAAACGAGAGCCACTGTAGGTCAGACAGGACAGGATTGACTCTGTTGAATGTTATCTAGGATCTAGGGTCGCCGCCAAGCGTCAGTTTAGAGTTTGACCCAGGCTAAGTAATCTTTTTTTAACCCTCGCCGGCCGGGAGGGGGGGGGGCGGCATAGGTTTTTTTTTTCGCGATACCTCGGAGCACACCGGAGATGGAAAGCTGAAACTTATCATACATGCCCTTGCTTCAAGACGGATCTTGTGAAACCAACGGTATTTTCAGGCCAGGTCAGGTCACTGACCTATGACGTCATAAGTGAATCTCTGCACGGTATTAAAACGTCGCATTTTCGCAACACCGTCAGTGCCAGAGCGGAGCTTTCACAGGGAGATGAAAATTACAGGACCTAGTATCCTCCAGAGATCTCACAACTTGTATATCTTGGATATTTCCCAAAGAAAGGTCACATGAGTTCAGGTCGATCACGTGACCTCAACATTGTAATTTGGGGAAATACTGTTATTTAATTTATTACATATGCTATTAACTCTGATTTTAGCGCCGAGAATGATCTAAAGCTATCTCAAACACACGGAATCGTCATTTCATGTATGTACTCCTTGTAAGGTTTGAGTTTTGTTTGATGCTTTAATTTTGCATTGTTGACCTTGCGTGACGTCATCTATGACGTCACTTAGGTCATAGGAGTTTCTGGTCAATTACTCGCGATCAAATTGAGCTAGCGAGTTGGGAAAGCTACCAATGGATTTGAGAAGACTGCACCGTATCGAATGAAATGCTATATGACCTCCTTCGACCAATTTCGTGACCTGAAGGGCTCTGAACTTACATTGACCCGAGATCAACACCTAAGATGACCTCACCCGAACAAAAAGTATGCCATTCGGCGCACCGTAGCTAACCAAACACGATGATGCCAAAATCCTGACTCCATGTGGTCGTTTAAGGCGAAGTTATTTACCAAAAGACCTCACTTGACCTGACCTCAGAAGTCAGGTCAAGTGATCAGGTTCACCTAAAACCTTAAAATCGGGTATCAGTCGCTGCGTTCTGTATGGCGCACACGTTCGTTTTTTTTTTTTCCTCAAGGCTCCAGCTCAATTAGGGGCGAAACGGCAAGGAGGGTCATACCAAACTATCGATCAATAGTATGTACAAAACCAATAGGTTCGGCGAGGGTTTAATTTGGCGAGACGAGGCCGCGGTACCGATCGTTTGGGTGCCGAATTAACTATTTCAGAATCAAATGTCAAGGCCATGACGGTCTCAGATGAACTTAATGCTTAGCTATTTTGGACATTCTGTCTCTTCTATCATTTGAAATAGTGGAAATTTAAACCTCTCATGAGCTTGAAGTTAATTAAAGCAACAGTTAATTATTTAATACGTTTTGGTGTGAAAATAAACTTTGCGACAAAATAGGTACCCTCCAAAACGACCAAACAGCACCACTTGAACTGACCTTTTAGATTGCAATAACTGGTTATTCTTAGTATAATTTACGCGGTGCTATTTTATGGTCATCGGATACTTTACTCGGAATCGACTAAAGGTCAAGTTGACAGCCGGCCCATAACCATGCTTTTGCTTCTGTCATGTGACGGGGACGAGCTGTTCGCCCCTGGCAGTGTTTTGTCTTGCTATGTTGACAGTAAACAACAGACAGTATGCGTAAACAAACTACACTTGAATAGACGCTACAAGCAATCCATCTGTGTTTCAACAGCCTGCGTTGTCTTTATATCTCACCATGAGCCATCGTCATGTTTTGATGACCGCATGTCAGTGTACCCCGCCATGTTGCAGTGACCTTGCTCCGAGTTCCGATGTTTCGCCGTGTGACTCATGTGTTTGTGTGTTTATTTACACGCTGCAGCTGGAGTCACTGCTGAAGTCACTGGAGCAGTTCCGGCTGAGGCATCCGCTGCCACGATAAACCGTCAGGAACGATCAGTGGTCAGTTTCGGTGCGAGAACAGTACAAAACAAATTCAGCAGGTACTCCGAATCGTTTGATTACGTTTCCGTCTGATGCTGCAACAATTTCACTTCTACGAATCACATATTGTATGCTACCAAAGTGTCACATGTCATATATCCAGCCGTGCAGGCCGCCTCCGTCCAGCTAAATGTGTGTCACGTCAAATAGTATGTGTCATGTTATGCGTCCTGTGCTATGCTATGCGTTGTCCCTTTCACACGTCCTTATGACGTCACAACTCGCGTGCTCGTGCACTCACTGCGCCGTTGCCATGGCTACCAGAGAGAAGTTCGTGTTTACACCTGGAACTGGAAATAACTTTCTGTTATCGGTATCCAAAGCGGCGCGCTGGCCGCCGCTCCCAAGGAGTGGCGGTCGCCGGTCGACGCCCGTCATCTGCTTCTGTATACTGATTCTGTCAGCAGTCTGGGGCGGGGGAAGGGTCACGGATATAGGGAGAGGGGCCCTGCAATTGATAGAAGGGGGAGCGACAGGAGAAATCATGGGATCTTTCGCGGTCGGTGAATGAGCGGGCTGACATATTGGTGTGGGTGCTTGGGCCGGTATGCGTGTTGGGCAAACGGACCAGAACAGCATTCAAGCTCGTGTGTTTAATTCGCAAACAACCCGATAAGTTTCGATGCATGTGCGTGTTTTCAATAGGTGCTGGTTTCACATGCAGTGTAGGATAGGCATTTAGCAGGCATTCGTTGATCCTCATCCAAAGACTTGATTTCCAATAATGAATTTGATCTAAAAGTGCACTATCCGATGTGTTTCATCACCCATCACTCATGTTTGCATGAACCTGTCATTTGTCTGATGAATACATGCACTGTGGGTGGGCATTTGAATGAATACCAATGAAAAGATAATTACATGTAAAGGAGCATCGACCCGAGCGTCCTTCTTCTCCGTGTTACCTGACCCGAGGGCCGAGGCAGTCCAATGGAGTCCGAACAACTAAACGAACGGTAGAGTTTAACTTCTTTAGTCATTGTCTCGATTCGTAAAGATTCACAATAGTATACTTTTTCCCCATATTACCAATTGATTCCTTCTGTGAAACTACTCCATTGATGGCCATTTTTCGTCGATGATTGCTTAGTTTCATATTCTTATTTACCTCTGCAATCGTCATCACATATAGCATATATTTAGTTACGCATCTCTAAGCCTATAGATAAATCAAACGATAATGTCACGAAAATCTTCTATCAGTAACCATTTACCATACCCATTGCCTGCCTCCCTGAGCACCTTATTCTCGTGGTCACGTACCGAATATTATGCGCTATGATATGGATAATGGACCTGTTTGTGTGCCGTTATGCTCCTGTGGTCGGCGGTAAGAGCCGGATCCCAAGGGGCGCAGAGTCATGTTCCGCCCAGGGGAGGGCTATTTTTGGATCTCTGATTACAGTCTGCCGTGCAAACCACCGCGGTACGCCTCCTGCGGCATGTCCAACAATGGGCGGCTAAAGGTCAGCGTCACCCGCAGCATTTATTTCCATGACAAATAGGCATTTGGAAAATTATAGCCATTATAGGTAACCGCCTATAAATCTGTCGTACTGACTTAAAAGTCACCGTCCAGCACAAGAAGAAGATCTATTCTGCTCTCCTCTACACCTTCCAGCCAACTAAACTCACAATCCCCCTCCTGGCACATCCACAGCTCGCAGACACACATCTCACATCATCACCAACCAATCGCGCTGTCATACGTCATATATCTCACATCATAACCAGCCAATCATGCTCCCATACGTCATGCCCGGCCCAGCTACTTGCAGGGTGTAACTCGGCCCTGCCGGCATCAGATGCCGGCGGCTATGACCAACGCTGGGTCACCGGTTCACAGCTCGACGCTGAAGCTGACTCACACTTATACGGCTCACATTCATCCTTGCGTCACGCTACATCACCCCCTGGTTCTGAAGAACCACATTACTCTACATGTTACATGTCATTCAATCAACGCATCAACTACATCCTCTGGCACACCATCGCCATATCTTTCCGGCTCTCTTCGAACACGCGTACCACGCCGCAGCGTCGCAGGCACGAACGTTTCACTCTCGTCTGCGGACACATCGGACCCGGTCGGTGGATCGGGGTCCGGGGACTGAGCGACGCTGGGCGGCCGCGTGTCCGACTCCGTCACATCACTCGGAGCTGGCGACACACACACGCCATCACACTCGCTGTCATCAGACCACTCCACCGTTGGCGCTCGCAGAGCCCCTGGCCTCGGACATTCAGGGACGGTCAACCGATGTCGGAGGTTTCGCACATGTCGTGGGACATTATCGACTTCGATTGTCTGGGCCGAAACGACGCCTGTCACAATACCCTCGTCTGACTTTACAAAACATCGGTCGCCCCGCCGCCGAACCCACACCTTGTCCCCTACCTGGTATACACCGGGTTTCTTCAGCGGCAGGGCGTCACCAGGCTCGTCTGAGGTTCTGCGGGGCGTCACGTCAACGTCTCGGCCAGGGTGTCGAAGCACCCCGTTGATTGGAGCTGTGGCCGGGTCACTGCCATCCTTCGGTGTCACGTTGTATCGATGGACTGCTTCAGCAACGGAGCAGGACTGCCGGGCCACCATCACTTTGATGGTACGATGATGGCGCTCGACGATGCCGTTCCCGCCGGGCTCGTAGGCAGCGCGGAACCGGATGGATACGTCCCAGCGAGCCGCGAACGCTAACATGACCCGGCCACGGAACTCTGTCGCATTGTCCGTGAGTATTTCCGCCGGGGCTCCACGCTCTAGAAACACGTTCTCCAGCTCACTCACAATCTCCAGAGCTCCTGCCCGGCGAAGCCGTCGCCATATGGCGTACCTCGACGGCCCGCAGTCCACCAGCGTCAGGTATGGGTGGCCGTGCACGTGGGTGACATCCATGGCCAGGCGATCCCACGTGCGTTCTGTTCCGAGTGACCCACCGGGCCAGCGCTCCGGCGCCGGGTCAATCGAGGCACACGTCTGGCATCGTCTGACCACGTCTCGCACAGCTGGTTTTGACACCCGCCTCACCCCCAGCTCACGTCGGGCGTACCACAACGTTCTCCTCACTCCTTGGTGACCGATGTTTTCGTGGATGGTGCGGATGTCACTCGCTGAGGCACTTGTGATGGCAGCGACAGCCACCGGTTGTGCTTTGGACGAATCAGTGGTTGGCTGGTCGGCAGTCTGCAGCCAGGCGTTGGGCACCCGCGTCACCTCATCAGCACGGTTGACCGCTGACGCGACCAGCTCGATAGTGACCTCCAGTTCGTACTCGATGACGAGCTGACGGAAAACAGCCACGCGCCGTCGGATAAGCATTTCGGACTGCGCCTTGGTTCGCAGCCTTGCCTTACCCGACAGCGCGTCACTCAGCCAGCGGTGCACCGTCACCGAGTCTGTCCGGAGCGTCAGGCGACGGAAGCCCCATGCTACCGCCAGGTTGACACCGTTGAGAGCGGCATCCAGTTCTGAGATATTGATGTGCACGTCCCTCTCCGATTCGGCACGCAGCCAGGACGCGTCCTCGATGATGGCGCCCGTGTCAGGGTCAGTGAGCACGACACCGCGGGCGATGGAGCTGGCGTCGGTCCACACCACGACGCTCGTCCCTGTCACACACCACTGGCCGCGTGCCGGGTCACATGCTCGAAACCGCCGTGACACCTCATCCACCTCACGTTGTAGTTCCTCGCTGACGATCGGAGTGTCCCAGTCCGGGCTGAGGCGGTTGGCAGTCCGCTTCATCCATGCAGCGGCCGGCCGCAGCCAGCCTGCGACCGGCACATGAGATGTCAGCTGGCCGGCCCACGCGAAGACAGATCGCCGCGTTAGCACGGGTGGAGCCTGCGTTGGTGACTCCCCGTCCCTACTCCACTGGAGTGCCGGCCCGTCGCTCTCGGCGACACGAAGGCCCAGCATACGTGCACCGGTCGCGACCCGCTCCGGCGGCTTGCATGTGAGCCCGAATCGAGCGAAGTGCTCGGCAACCTCATCAGCCGAGACCACCGCTTCGTTGACCAGCAGATCATCGGCGTAAGGCAGCACTGCCTCTGCCAACCCGGGGCTCTGTGCGAGCACCTTCCTGACCACAGCCTTCATGATCAGAGGCGCGATACTGAGCCCAAAGCCGACCCTGGTCAGGCAGTGTTGTGTTTGTGTATAGGCCGCCCCGAGGCCCCCTACTTGGACCGCCTCTGCGACCCCACTGGGCCAGGTGCCTGTGAGCGCCCCTGCCGGCGCCAGCTGACCGTGCGCGCCAAGCGGCGTGACTGGCGCATGGGACGTGGGCTGGCGCTCGCCATACTTGTTTACGTTTCGATCTCTCTCTCGGCCCATTCGCACCTGTCTAAAATAAATCGCGTTGATATTCATAAGCTCTTTCACTTCGAACCGATAAACGACAACTAAACATGGCGCGGTCGGTTTTGTAAATTAATACGTGATTGAGCATACCGCGATGACTATCATTCAAGAACTGACGGCACTGCTGGAGAGGCAAGTGAAGAGAGCCGCCGACGCCGACAAGCGCCTGGAGCGCTTGGAGAGGCTTCTAACCAGGGAGCCCTCCGCGGGGACGGACGCGACGACCGGAGTGTCAGAGTCGGGGGCTGAGCGAGGCGCTGATGGATCCGTTGGACCAGCTGCCGCCGCCCGCCGGACTGTCTGCCTGCCGGTGTCGGCGACCCCGACCGCGCAACCGAAGTCGACATCGACGTGCCACGACCGTGCCGAGTGCAGTGTTCACGACAGTGATTTAGGAGCGGTGAGCCGCAGGCTGGAGGACTTTGAGCTGACGCTCAAATACGCCGTGAACGTTTGTCGGGCGAGCGATGGTGCCCGTGTCACGTGCCCAGACCTCCGCGGCAACGAGGGACATTCCGCGGCGCGCCTGCCGGCCTACAAGAGGCGCAGGCGGCCGAGTGTCGCCCATTCCGCCACCGCCACAGATCATCAGTTTCTTGATCGTTGCCCTGCCTGTGGCCGTCGCCAGCACGCCGGCGGAGACACGTGTCGCGCCGCTGGCGCCATCTGTCGTGCGTGTGGCGAACCGGGGCATTTTGAGATTGTGTGCCACCAGAGGGCTGATCGTCCAGTGGCGACATCTGCAGCGACGAAAGTACGCGACTCACCGGTGGTGGCGCCAGTAACGGTAGCCGCCGGCACCGCCGTGTTGCCGCCGCCGGCGGACACGGGCCAAGCCGGGCACACTGCGCTTCAGCCCGCCGAGCTGAGTGACGCTGCTGACGTCCACGGAGCCTGCCCGCCGCCGGCGGGAGGCTGGCCAGCGCAGACCATGGACGTCGAGGCAGCCCCTGACAAAGCCGTGTCATCGCCGCAGGCGGACACGGGCCGCACCGGCAGTACTGCAGCGCAGCCGACTGAGCCGGTCGGAGCTACCGCATCCTACGGAGCCTCACCGCCGCCGGCCGGAGGCATCCCAACTTGGAGCACGGACCGAGTGTACCGAGCCTCGCCGCCGCCGGCGGGAGGCCCATCGGTAGCCACCGGCGCCGCCGTGTCGTTGCCGCCGGCAGACACGGGCCGAGGAGCCGGGCGTGCCGCGGCGCAGCCCACCGAGCCGGCTGGCGCGCGCGGAGCCTGCCCGCCGCCGGCGGGAGGCTGGCCGGCGCAGACCACGGACCGAGAGGCAGCCCCTGATAACGCCGTGTCACCGCCGCAGGCGGACACGGACCGAGCTGGTTGTACCGCAGCGCAGCCTACAGCGGGAGGTCTACAAACGCGGACCGGCGACGGAAACAAAACCGCTGGTGACGCCGTGTTGCCGCCGCCGGCGGACACGAACCAACCCGGGGGTACTGCGGCGCAGCCCGCAGGCCCGGCCGGAGCCGCTGAAGCCTACGGAGCCTCGCC